AGCTGTAAGAGGCATTTCTTATCTTAAGTATTTTTAATGGACCTGTACTGTCACTAATGATATGGAAGGTTTAGATGACTTTTTTAATCTCTCCCCCCCTCCCCCCTTCCATAGGAACCACCAAGGCAGGGACCGTGCTGCTGCTGAAACATTCAATGACCCCGGCTGTGAGTATTCGTATTCTGCTAAGTACCAGGCAGGAGGTCTGGGCATCAACCTGCAGTCTGCTGACACAGTATCATCTTTGACAGTGACTGGAACCCACATCAGGTACTGGCATGCAAATATATTTTGGCATCAACACCGGTCTGAGTTATATCAGTGAATATACTTAATACTAAAATAACATCACCAAGGCTAATGTGACATTGCATTTTTGGGGGGTTACTATTCATCTATCATTAACTTAATCGTATGTGCTCCCTCCTACAGGACTTGCAGGCACAGGACAGGGCCCACCGTATCGGTCAGCAGAACGAAGTGCGCGTGCTCCGCCTCTGCACAGTCAACAGTGTAGAGGAAAAAATTCTGGCAGCAGCCAAGTACAAACTGAACGTGGACCAGAAGGTCATCCAGGCTGGCATGTTCGACCAGAAGTCGTCAGGCTATGAACGGCGGGCCTTCTTACAGGCCATTCTGGAGCACGAGGAACAGGACGAGGTCGGGGCTCGAGCAGGCTGCCGCTCTAGGGGGGCGTGGGTGGGTGTGATCCAAACCTGTTGCAACATTGCCCGCCCACCCACAACCGCCAGTGCGCTGCCGCACCTCTTCTTTCTCTCCTTTTTTTTTTTCTCCTTTTCTGTCTCTTTTCCATATTCCCTCTTTTCTCAGGATTTGTAAGCTTTCATCAATCTAGTCTCTCCTTTTCTCCCTACTGTATTTCTGCCTCTACACAAACCGTTTATGGTTATTATACTTTATCTTTAAAACTTCATATAAAAACATTTCCCCCCTTTTTTTTTCCTCTTTTTCCTTTTTTCCTTTTCTTTCACTAATTTTCGCTTTTTTACATTCAGATCCGGTTCCAGTTCAATATGCTAACCTAATACTGATATTTACATGCCAACGTATGATGAACAGTAATATGAATTGAATTATTTTTTTCACTGAAACATTAATTCAGAGACAACGCTCTGAGGTGCCACATAAATCTGCCATTTGTCTCATGTGACTCAATGTTTCCTTTGCCTGCAGGAGGAAGACGAAGTGCCCGATGACGAGACTGTCAATCAAATGATTGCCAGAAGTGAAGAGGAGTTCGAACAGTTCATGGTAAGTCCCAGTTCCATATCAACTTATTAGATGCTTTGTAATTGAATTGTCTGTCGCCACTTACCCCCTGCTGCGGTTCGTTTTTAAAACTTTTATTCCAGCGCATGGATCTAGACAGACGCCGCGAGGAGGCCAGGAACCCTAAGAGGAAACCTCGTCTGATGGAGGAGGACGATATGCCCAGCTGGATTTTGAAAGACGACGCTGAGGTTGAGAGGCTAACTTGTGAAGAGGAGGAGGAGAAGATGTTTGGCAGAGGCTCCCGCCAACGTAAGGAGGTGGACTACAGCGACTCGCTCACTGAGAAACAGTGGCTCAAGGTAGAATGCTATCATATTTAGTTGTCAGAAAATAATGTCTTTGCATCTTCTGAGGAGAAACTGAATCAAATGAAATTACCTTTCGATTTCATTCAGCTCACTGATCATTTCTCCTCACCACAGGCCATAGAGGAGGGAAATCTAGAGGACATTGAAGAGGAAGTGCGCCACAAGAAGACAACCAGAAAGCGCAAGAGGGACCGTGACCATGACGGCGGTCCGGCCACACCCAGTTCCAGCAGCGGCCGAGGGCGAGATAAGGACGAGGAGGTGAAGAAGGCAAAAAAACGTGGTCGCCCGCCTGCTGAGAAGCTCTCTCCCAACCCTCTTTCCCTCACAAAGAAGATGAAGAAGATCGTTGATGCCGTTATCAAATATAAAGATGGGTGAGAACATTACAATATCTAGCCAACATTAGGGCTTTTAGACCACACTAAAATAAAAGTGACTATAATCTGAACAAAAGCGATGCTCGTTATTGATTTATTAAGCGGTAGATTCAGTATTGAGTCGGTGATACATGCTGTGTGATACATGCATACTAAGAGCACAGTTGCCTTGTCTCAGCAGTAATGGGCGACAGCTGAGTGAAGTCTTCATACAGCTGCCGTCCCGCAAGGAGCTGCCCGAGTACTATGAGCTAATCCGCAAACCAGTGGACTTCAGAAAAATCAAGGTAAGGATAAAAAGTAACACCTACCTGCTCTTCATATTAAGATAAAACAGAGGAAGTTAAGAAGATGGTTCAGCAGTTGCTCCTGTGTGCTGTTTAATCTAAATATCTACTGTGTGTGTGTGTGTGTGACTGCTTCCTGCAGGAGAGGATCCGCAGCCATAAGTACCGCAGCCTCAACGACCTGGAGAAGGATGTGATGCTGCTGTGTCAAAACGCCCAGACTTTCAACCTGGAGGGGTCTCTGGTGAGTTGAGCCAGAAACACTTCAATAATTACATTAATAGAATAGGCATAAAGATCCCCCTGATGTTTTTTCTGCAATAATTCTGCAATATTTTTTCCACAATAAAATCTTTAAAAAGGCACCTACTCCTTCTAGCTCATACATTTCAGAAAAGTCCATTCTCAGTGTATGTGCACTGGAGGCTTCATGTTTCATGTTTCTCACACTAGGTTGCATACTGGACCAGGTT